TAACTCGGTCAAATCTCATCCGATTTTCACGAGGTTTGGCTTTTTGATAATGGTTTGGTGTCTAGATCAATTTGGCATCTAAATCTGGCAACATTATATTTGGTCCAAATTCATGTGAATATGGTACCCTCAAATATCCTATTCAGACATAGGTCAAAACTTCCCACCCCATAACTCGGTCAAATCTCATCCGATTTTCCCGAGGCTTGGCGATTTCTTCATTGTTTGGCGTCTAGATCAATTTGGCATCTAAATCTGGCAACATTATATTTGGTCCAAATTCATGTGAATATGGTACCCTCAAATATCCTATTCAGACATAGGTCAAAACTTCCCACCCCCATAACTCGGTCAAATCTCATCTGATTTTCACGAGGTTTGGCTTTTTGATAATGGTTTGGTGTCTAGATCAATTTGGCATCTAAATCTGGCAACATTATATTTGGTCCAAATTCATGTATATATGGTACCCTCAAATATCCTATACAGACATAGGTCAAAACTTCCCACCCCCATAACTCGGTCAAATCTCATCCGATTTTCACGAGGTTTGGCTTTTTGATAATGGTTTGGTGTCTAGATCAATTTGGCATCTAAATCTGGCAATATTATAGTTGGTCCAAATTCATGTGAATATGGTACCCTCAACTATCCTATACAGACATAGGTCAAAACTTCCCACCTCCATAACTCTGTCAAATCTCATCTGATTTTCACGAGGCTTGTTTCTTTCTTCATGGTTTGGCGTCTAGATCAATTTGGCATCTAAATCTGGCAACATTATATTTGGTCCAAATTTATGTGAATATGGTACCCTCAAATATCCTATACAGACATAGGTCAAAACTTCCCACCCCCATAACTCGGCCAAATCTTATCCGATTTTCACGAGGTTTGGCTTTTTGATAATGGTTTGGTGTCTAGATCAATTTGGCATCTAAATCTGGCAACATTATATTTGGTCCAAATTCATGTATATATGGTACCCTCAAATATCTTATACAGACATAGGTCAAAACTTCCCACCCCCATAGCTCGGTCAAATCTCATCCGATTTTCACGAGGTTTGCCTTTTTGATAATGGTTTGGGGTCTAGATCAATTTGGTATCTAAATCTGGCAACATTATATTTGGTCCAAATTCATGTGAATATGGTACCCTCAAATATCCTATACAGACATAGGTCAAAACTTCCCACCCCCATAACTCGGTCAAATCTCATCTGATTTTCACGAGGCTTGTTTCTTTCTTCATGGTTTGGCGTCTAGATCAATTTGGCATCTAAATCTGGCAACATTATATTTGGTCCAAATTCATGTATATATGGTACCCTCAAATATCTTATACAGACATAGGTCAAAACTTCCCACCCCCATAGCTCGGTCAAATCTCATCCGATTTTCACGAGGTTTGGCTTTTTGATAATGGTTTGGTGTCTAGATCAATTTGGTATCTAAATCTGGCAACATTATATTTGGTCCAAATTCATGTGAATATGGTACCCTCAAATATCCTATACAGACATAGGTCAAAACTTCCCACCCCCATAACTCGGTCAAATCTCATCCGATTTTCACGAGGTTTGGCTTTTTGATAATGGTTTGGTGTCTAGATCAATTTGGCATCTAAATCTGGCAACATTATATTTGGTCCAAATTCATGTATATATGGTACCCTCAAATATCCTATACAGACATAGGTCAAAACTTCCCACCCCCATAACTCGGTCAAATCTCATCTGATTTTCACGAGGTTTGGCTTTTTGATAATGGTTTGGTGTCTAGATTAATTTGGCATCTAAATCTGGCAACATTATATTTGGTCCAAATTCATGTGAATATGGTACCCTCAACTATCCTATACAGACATAGGTCAAAACTTCCCACCTCCATAACTCTGTCAAATCTCATCTGATTTTCACGAGGCTTGTTTCTTTCTTCATGGTTTGGCGTCTAGATCAATTTGGCATCTAAATCTGGCAACATTATATTTGGTCCAAATTTATGTGAATATGGTACCCTGAAATATCCTATACAGACATAGGTCAAAACTTCCTACCCCCATAACTCGGCCAAATCTTATCCGATATTCACGAGGCTTGTTTCTTTCTTCATGGTTTGGCGTCTAGATCAATTTGGCATCTAAATCTGGCAACATTATATTTGGTCCAAATTCATGTATATATGGTACCCTCAAATATCTTATACAGACATAGGTCAAAACTTCCCACCCCCATAGCTCGGTCAAATCTCATCCGATTTTCACGAGGTTTGGCTTTTTGATAATGGTTTGGTGTCTAGATCAATTTGGTATCTAAATCTGGCAACATTATATTTGGTCCAAATTCATGTGAATATGGTACCCTCAAATATCCTATACAGACATAGGTCAAAACTTCCCACCCCCATAACTCGGTCAAATCTCATCCGATTTTCACGAGGTTTGGCTTTTTGATAATGGTTTGGTGTCTAGATCAATTTGGCATCTAAATCTGGCAACATTATATTTGGTCCAAATTCATGTGAATATGGTACCCTCAAATATCCTATACAGACATAGGTCAAAACTTCCCACCCCCATAACTCGGTCAAATCTCATCTGATTTTCACGAGGCTTGTTTCTTTCTTCATGGTTTGGCGTCTAGATCAATTTGGCATCTAAATCTGGCAACATTATATTTGGTCCAAATTCATGTATATATGGTACCCTCAAATATCTTATACAGACATAGGTCAAAACTTCCCACCCCCATAGCTCGGTCAAATCTCATCCGATTTTCACGAGGTTTGGCTTTTTGATAATGGTTTGGTGTCTAGATCAATTTGGTATCTAAATCTGGCAACATTATATTTGGTCCAAATTCATGTGAATATGGTACCCTCAAATATCCTATACAGACATAGGTCAAAACTTCCCACCCCCATAACTCGGTCAAATCTCATCCGATTTTCACGAGGTTTGGATTTTTGATAATGGTTTGGTGTCTAGATCAATTTGGCATCTAAATCTGGCAACATTATATTTGGTCCAAATTCATGTATATATGGTACCCTCAAATATCCTATACAGACATAGGTCAAAACTTCCCACCCCCATAACTCGGTCAAATCTCATCTGATTTTCACGAGGTTTGGCTTTTTGATAATGGTTTGGTGTCTAGATTAATTTGGCATCTAAATCTGGCAACATTATATTTGGTCCAAATTCATGTGAATATGGTACCCTCAACTATCCTATACAGACATAGGTCAAAACTTCCCACCTCCATAACTCTGTCAAATCTCATCTGATTTTCACGAGGCTTGTTTCTTTCTTCATGGTTTGGCGTCTAGATCAATTTGGCATCTAAATCTGGCAACATTATATTTGGTCCAAATTTATGTGAATATGGTACCCTCAAATATCCTATACAGACATAGGTCAAAACTTCCTACCCCCATAACTCGGCCAAATCTTATCCGATTTTCACGAGGCTTGTTTCTTTCTTCATGGTTTGGCGTCTAGATCAATTTGGCATCTAAATCTGGCAACATTATATTTGGTCCAAATTCATGTATATATGGTACCCTCAAATATCTTATACAGACATAGGTCAAAACTTCCCACCCCCATAGCTCGGTCAAATCTCATCCGATTTTCACGAGGTTTGGCTTTTTGATAATGGTTTGGTGTCTAGATCAATTTGGTATCTAAATCTGGCAACATTATATTTGGTCCAAATTCATGTGAATATGGTACCCTCAAATATCCTATACAGACATAGGTCAAAACTTCCCCCCCCCATAACTCGGTCAAATCTCATCCGATTTTCACGAGGTTTGGCTTTTTGATAATGGTTTGGTGTCTAGATCAATTTGGCAACTAAATCTGGCAACATTATATTTGGTCCAAATTCATGTGAATATGGTACCCTCAACTATCCTATACAGACATAGGTCAAAACTGCCCACCTCCATAACTCGGTCAAATCTCATCTGATTTTCACGAGGTTTGGCTTTTTGATAATGGTTTGGTGTCTAAATCAATTTGGCATCTAAATCTGGCAACATTATATTTGGTCCAAATTCATGTGAATATGGTACCCTCAAATATTCTAGACAGACATAGGTCAAAACTTCCCACCCCTATAACTCGGTCAAATCTCATCTGATTTTCACGAGGCTTGTTTCTTTCTTCATGGTTTGGCGTCTAGATCAATTTGGCATCTAAATCTGGCAACATTATATTTGGTCCAAATTCATGTGAATATGGTACCCTCAAATATCCTATACAGACATAGGTCAAAACTTCCCACCCCCATAGCTCGGTCAAATCTCATCCGATTTCCACGAGGTTTGGCTTTTTAATAATGGTTTGGTGTCTAGATTAATTTGGCATCTAAATCTGGCAACATTATATTTGGTCCAAATTCATGTGAATATGGTACCCTGAAATATCCTATACAGACATAGGTCAAAACTTCCCACCCCCATAACTCGGTCAAATCTCATCCGATTTTCACGAGGTTTGGCTTTTTGATAATAGTTTGGGGTCTAGATCTGGCATCTTAATCTGGCAACATTACTCTTGTTTCTGGGTATTTTCCGATTTGCTTCAAACTTGTATTGGAAGCTCTAAATAAGAACTTAATGAATACGTGTTGCGACGAATTGGCTTACCGTCCTAGCTGGCAAAGCCGGGGTATGCCCGCTAGTATATATATATGTTTTTTTTATATTCCTCTCTCTCATCCCTGTAAGCTAGCACATATTTTATTCGCGGACAGCCGAAACCAACAAATCTCAGTTGATTTAATTTGCCCAGCCTAATGTCACTTGCACTGATATTTACAGACCTCGATGCGAGCGAGTCTGTAAGGCGATTATGTTGTGGGCATTGTGATGCCACGCCCACAGTTGCTGACATTGTGTGTGTTTTGGCTTAATTGATTTGTGTGTGTTGCCGTACAACAAGTTTGTTTGCTCTTTGAAAAAGGGGCCCAAGCAAAAGGCTGTACTCACCGCTGCCGCTGTCGTAGGATCGGGAGGTGGAGCCACTCGTATTGGAACGTTTAATCTCGCGTCGACCCATGCTGTCTCTGTCTGTGGTTTGCTGCGGCTCCTGTTGCTGCTGGTGGTGGTGGGATGAGTGTGCGGGCGAGTTGCTGGCCACGTGGCACGTGGCAAGAAGTGCGCAAGCCGTTGAGGCAGCCGCTTTGGCCACCGCAGAACTGTAGCTGGAACTTGGCGCAGCTGCTGCTGCTGGGCTGCTGGGATTACAGTGGTGGAGCGACGGGGTGGAGGCGGTGCCGGGAAAGCGGTTCGCCAGCAGCGACCTGGTCGGTGGGAACTCAAAGTAGTTGACCTGCTGGCGATTGCCAAGCAAATTGATAACTGGTTTCGTGGCCAAGCTGCTGCTGCCTGTGTCCGCGTGGCTGGAGCTGCTGCTGCGCCTGTGCTGCTGCTGCTGCTGATGCTGCTGGTGCTGCTGGTGCTGGTGATGATGATGATGCTGGTGCTGGTGCGTATGATGCCTTTGGAGCTGATTGCTGATGGCGCTGCTGCAGCTGCTGCCGGCTGTTTGGATCTGATGTGGCGTTGGCGGCGGCGGGGGACAAGCGTTGTTGATGCTGCAGCTGCTGCTGCTGGAGAAGGACGATTTTCGCAGTGATGATGGTCTTAACCCCTTGACAGGGTACAATGGGTACTATCGCCCGGCAACGCGTACCCAATCGCGATGATCTCGGTCGCTGTTGTACCAAATGCCTGCAAGAAACCAAAAGACAGACCACCGTTAATCGTCATCATCGTAATCGTAATCGTTATTGTTATCGATAAGCACGTCAACTGTACGCAATAGCTCCAGATTACAGGCAAAGTGCACTTAAAGCGGGAGTCGGCGCGCGCGTGGCCAGCATAACAAACGCACATTGCGTATACGCCCCGTTAATGTTTTGCGCCAGCCAGCATCGTAAAAGGCAGACCAGGCGAGCCCGAGCCCATTAACCAAGCCAAAGCCATTTGGGACAGTCTCTCGGACATTAGCGACAGTCAGTGCCAATTTTACCAAATATTTGGCACATGAAATCATTTTGCGCTAATAAAATTTCACGCCCCACTGGGCGGATCATTGATTTGCTGTAAAATGCCAACCGCAAAACTGACCAAGGACGACATCCCCTTTACAATTTGCGCTTAATGGTTATGTCATATAGGGCTTAATATGCATTGGCTAAGATAAGATAGTTAAATATCAGTCAGCAAAGTTAATAAATTTCAAGTACATTAGTAAAAGTTTGTTATTAAAATATCTGGGTAGATATCTGGGTAGAGGCCAGTTGGTAATTTAATCAAAGTAAGCGCCTTGAAGTCGACAAGGTGGCCAAACTAGAATTGAGAAGAGCGTTATTTGCCTTTATTTGGAGTCCCACTTGAGGAGACGTCAGCTGACATCTTATCTTTGTGGGGCAGAGCCTGGCCCTCCAGAGAAATGCTTTTAGTCAGAAGAAAAATCAAGCAGAGGCATGCCACGCAATAGGAAAGCAGCTGAAGCAGCAGCAGCGGCAACGGAAGTGGAAATAGAAATCAATAATAATGGCATTTTATTAGAGCTGGATGCTTCTCAACAGGTTGCACTTGCAATATATGTGATTCAGGTCAGGTCCGTCCTGGACAGGACTCGATTAACTGTCAGAATCAAATCAGTTCCTTGCTGTCAAGTGCAGCGCGTATATTGAGTAGTCAACTAGTTTTTCCTGCTATTTAATTATGTTGTTGTGTATCCACTAAAAAGCAAATGAGATTCCAGTTGCAGCCGAGACAAATGGCAGAAGATGGAAGGGGAGTGGGAAGTGGCAACCACAATCTTGACATGCTCAAGGCGAGCTGGCAGCCGGTAAATACAATTCCATTTAAATGTCATGAAATGCCTTCTAATAAAGCAAATGCTGGCTGTCTGTCTACCTAATGGCCCGAGAGGGAGTAGAGTCAGTCCTGCACACAGTGTCCCACAGATATTCACGTACAGCTTCCGCTTTTCATTTGTCGATGCGAAGCAACAAGCTGATTTGGCAGAAATACTTGTAATGCTGGCCTGAGCTCAGCAGGAGGAGAATATCAAGCTTGAATGGACTAATTCCCATGCAAGGGAAAGACAGAGAGAGAGAGAGAGAGAGAGAGAGAGAGGGAGAGAGAGGGAGGGCGAAACTCAGTCTTCCACATGTTGCCTCTAATCGGTTCGGATTTGAATTTCCATAATATGAGACCAGATAGCAGAGTGAGGCACAAGGATGACACCACGCACAAGCGAGATTGAGCAAAGGAAAAAAGCACACGATGTCAGACCCAGTGAAGCTCATGGCCAACCCAACCAGGCCAGGATCAGGCAGCCTGGGCCGGATTAAGGCATCAGATTGTTAGCTAATGCCTTTGCCTACATAGATCAAAGCATGCCACAAGCCCGGCTATATGTATGTATGTGTAAGACTCTGACATCGTCAGTTATTCATAGATGTAGATGAGGGGGAGGGGGGAGGGAGGAGGGGAGGGGTTCGGCTCTAGTTTTAATCAATTCCTCAAGTCAAGTCCATCAATAATGCCAAATGGAAGACGGGGCAAATAATGAATAATGTCTTGCCATCTTGCTTTTGTTATTTTTGTTATTGTTGTTGCCGGATAACTGCTGAGCAAGTGGAAAATACGAGTTTCCCTTTGGCCTTCCACATTTCATTTTGCCATTTTTCCATTTGCCATTTTCCTTTTCCGTTTGCATTTGCCATATGCCCTGGTTACAGAATTCTTTCATCACCTGATTTCACTTGCAGCCACTCGCATTTTAAAGGAATCTAAGCCTAAGCTTTGTTTTGCCTTAAATTTGACAGCTGCATGTTCGTAGATCTTAAATGGAATTTAATTTGTTTTAGGTGCGTGCAGGTGTGCCCTGCCTATTTTGGAATTGGTATTTGCTGCGCTTGCGGCATGCTCTTCCAAATACTTTTGTTATATAATATTTGCGTACCTGCCACATTCCAGCCACAACTCCCGCCCGTCCCTTGTCAATCGTGTGCCCAGCCCAAAACTTCGCTTTCACATAGTTGTGGCTCGACGTTGTCATAGTTAAGCCAATGTAAACATTTTTAATTTGCACATAATAATAAAAATTCCGTTTGCCGCTCCGCACAAAATAATTCAACAAGTTTTGATGCAAAGCCGCCTTAAAATATTTGCGGTTCCAGTTTCTGTTTTATGGCAGCTCACACATGGCCAAACCCATCCATCGATGGGGCAACGGGTTGAGAGTGCGGGGTGGGAGGTGGGAGAAAGCTGCGCTGCGGTTTCCCCAGCTTAAGAGACATTTGATTTATGGACTCAAAGTGCAAGCAGAAGTGGTTTAATCCCACAGCTCCACTCAGCAAGACGCTGGCATTTCGAGTACCTGTTTCAAATTTACAAACACTTCACAATTTGCCATAAAAAAAATATGTACAGCGACTCGACACTGCAAAAAATGTTGATAAGAAAATTCAATTTGCCTGGTCGGAAAAATTTATTAATAGTTTGCTTGTGAAATATTTCAAATATTTAGGTGACAGCTGCTAATCTCCAATCGGGAAAAGTTGTGAATTAAGAAAAATATAAAACTTCTCGGACTATTTCTCAAACCTATCGATTCGACTTTAAGCATAATGTGAGCATATGAGGATCAAAATACCTTGTATTTCCCGAATATCTAAAGTTCGCAATCATCCCAACGAGCTTCGCTTTAGGATTAAATGCCGGGAGGCGTCACAAGCAGAGGCATCAACGAGGACACACACAAAGGCAGCCGGAGGCATGCGGCAGATCCTTTAAAGTTAATGCCGCTGTCGTTTGCCGAAAATCGATTGCCACACGGGACATGAAAACGAGAGAATGTTGCCAAAAGGGCAGGGGAAGGGGCAGGGGCAGGGGGCAGGAGCAGGTATATTGAGCGAGCAACATGTGGCTAGTGAGAGGCTGGGCCTTCTGTCAAATGGAAGCCCAGAGGAAATGACGGCATTTGGCGATGTTTTTTTTTTTTATGTGAGTGCTGCACACTTTTAGCAGAAGCATTTTTATTGTCGCCAGCTGGAATTCGTTAAAAAACTGTATGGACTCTGTGTGTTTTTGTGTTGATAAACGCCTGCACACACCTGAACAGGTAAGCGACATGTTGGCCAACTCGCATTGCCCTCGGCTTAAATAAGCGAAGTTGCACGCGTCCTTTGCCCAAAAGCGGTTGCAGTCGTGCGTGTGAGCTTCCTCCGCCCCAGCCACACCCCAAATATGAGCAGCTTCTTGTTTACACCAGGCTCATGTGCAAATAACCACACCGGACCCCAAACGAACTGGGGAAAAACAACAACAACAACAACAACAACCACAAACAGTGGTCACAATAAATGTTGTTGCTTTAATTAAAATTTAATGAAATTAAGCTAAATATTTTTACGGCCCTGGCCAGGTTGACCTGTTAAATATGAAATGTGCAACTTTTGTTAAAATACGTTTATGTAAATGACACGGCGCCTGAGAGCTCAGTTTTTTTTTTTGTTGAATACAGTAAGAGGTTCTAGTCGGGAGCTCCCTCGACTAGGGGATACCCTGAACCCTCTTTTTGCAACAGGCGATAGGTATAAAATTAAAGATACTTGATATATATATTCTCTTCTAGAAGCTACATGTCAAGTTTGGCCACTCTATTATTTATTATTTACGAGATTTGCTCAAAAAACAGGATTTCGATATCGATTTTTATCGATTACTTGGAAACGGGTTATCGAATATCGGAAACAAACTCGATCTGCGCGGGTACTAGGAGGACCTTCAGCCAAAATTTCAAGTCTCTAGCTCTTATAGGTTCTGAGATCCTTCCGAACATACATACGGACGGGCGGACGGACGGACAGACAGACAGACGGACATGGCAAGATCGACTTGGCTGTTGATGCTGATCAAGAATATATATACTTTATGGGTTCGGCGATGCTTTCTGCTGCCTGTTACATACATTTGCACAAATACAATATACCCTATTTACCCATTGTCAATGAGTATACAGGGTATACAAATTCTAGAAAAAAGACTCCGGAAAAGAGCGGGCAGCAACGGGAAACGAATGCTCTCAACTGTAAGTAATTCACGTTTATTAAAATACCATGGAAAAATATCAACCTTCGCCTGCTGCTGCAGCAGGCAGTTATGTGACAGTGTGGCACAGGGGCATGCGGCAAGGGGGCACGCGCAGTGTGGCATCACTTGTAGCTTTAGATTAACTGGCAGCTTGGGCAAATTCAAAGCTTAGTTGGCAAACAGTTGCGCTCCTTTGTCTCCCCCCTGGCATTTCGTCCTGCAAACAGGTTAATTGAATTTACTGAATGTGTTGAAAGCGAGGGCAGTTTAGAACGGCACATGCAGCTCGGACTGCCTGTAGTTCAGGCGATTACCACCTCTTACCCTCCCCCCCCCTCCCCACCACCCCTTCAACCCACAAGCATTTCTTTTTTCTTACACCATTTAGCGCTTTCTTCTGCCATAGCTATTTGCATACAAAGGATCTCGCCGTTAGGCTGTTAAACACTTTCCATTTCATGCCTGATTTCAGGTAAACCTACGCGAATTACTCTACGGCCAACCCCCTGTACATGTGTGTGTGTGTGTGTGTGATGTAAAGTTAATTATTCGACGAAATGGATTCAACACTCGGTACACGTAACGAGGCGGCAATGTACAAACTTTTATCGCCATTGCTGTGCATCTCGACTGTGTCTATGTGTGTGTGTGTGCGTGTGTGTGTGTGTGTGAGTGTGTGTGTGTGTGTGTGCATTAACTTTATTACCACAGCGCAGCACTTTCGCTGGACCCTTTTCCCTCATAAAATATGATGTGTCTCCTACCCCCCCTCCCACCGCGCCTATCATCACCCCCCCCCCCCCCTCTGTCTAGCCTGTGGATGAACAGCTTTGAAAATTTGCACGTCATACGCACACACAGTTTTCACGAGCGTTGCGCAAATAACAAGGAGCTGCAGAGCGAGGGGCTGGCTACCCTCCCCCCTTTTCCCCCTTTTTTTTTGGCCCCAACTCACATACGTTTATGTATGTGTGACTCGAAAGTTGTACGTGTTTTCAACAGTTTCTACGTGACTTTTCACTGCACTTGGCACTTTCAGATGTTGCCTCTGATTTTGGCACCCCGATAGCTCCAACTGTTACTCAACAGTTGGCCGCGCGCACATAACCATGACACGGTAACTCCTATTAATTACCAAGCTAGCCATGGACACCAATTCAAAGGGGGGAGGGGGGGGGAGGGCAATCGGTTGGCATAGCTTACAGGTGGACTGCATTTATAATTGGTTATGCATAACCCTCATCTGAACGAGCTAGCAATCCACTTTTGATTGCAATTTTTGGACTTAAAAAGGAACAACTACT